CTCTTTAAATTTTTCCTTTCAAAATTTAGCTTAACATTTTTACAACTCTTCTCGTAGAAAGAGATTTCTACACGGTTATAAAGAATGTTTATACTGGGGCAAGTGTCAAAAAAGGAGAGAGTAAACAACTATAGTGAAGCCAAATACTCGAAGTCATTTAAGACATGACAAGACGGTATCTAAAGACAACGGATGAGGGGGGAAAATTATTGTAACAATTTTGGCTAGTTGGAATGTGCGTAGGTGGACAAATTTTTAAGGAATAAAATAAACCGAAATTATTGGTGGTCTCTAGGCCGGCTGCCGACCGACCGGGTTTTATAATTTCAAGGAAATTAAAATATATATATATATATATATATGTATGTATGTATGTATAAAAGGAAGCAACAAACTGATAATAATGTAAATATGTATGTATGTATGTATGATTTTTAAAATATTTTATCTTTGTGCCCATGATATGATTTCTCTATGGCATGTGAATGCTCTCGGGATTTGAGACCCACTTGAATATGTAGATAGTACATAGCTTCATCCATAACATGTTGAGGATGGTTGGTAAAGGAGTCACAGATTGGCTAATTAAAGGAAATACTATCTTCATTAATATGAGACATTTTAGAGAAACTAAAGTAAAACTATAACAATTTATGCTCAAAGTGGATAATATCAAACAATTATGGGAGGTTTGTGATTTCTAACATAGTATCATAGTCATGCCAATAAAGTCCTCAAGTGTCGAACAAAAAAATTGTAAAAAAATGTACTCAAATCGAACAAAGTGTGTGCTTTGTTTGAGGGCTCCTAAGGAGTTGAGTCTTGATTAAGGGGAGGCGGTTTGAAGGCTCCATAGGTCTTAGGGGAAGCTCTATGGTGTACTGGGCTCCTTAGAAGGAGTCGAGCCTCGACTAATGAGAGGCTGTTTGAGGGCTCCATAGGCCTTAGGGGAAGCTCTATGGTGTATTGGCCTCCTTAGAAGGAGTCGAGCCTCGACTAATGAGAGGCTGTTTGAGGACTCCATAGGCCTTAGGGGAAGCTCTATGGTGTATTGGGCTCCTTAGAAGGAGTCGAGCCTCGACTAATGAGAGGCTGTTTGAGGGTTTCATAGGTCTCAGGGGAAGCTCTATGGTGTATTGGGCTCCTTAGAAGGAGTCGAGCCTCGACTAATGAGAGGTTGTTTGAGGGTTTCATAGGTCTCAGGGGAAGCTCTATGGTGTATTGGGCTCCTTAGAAGGAGTCGAGCCTCGACTAATGAGAGGTTGTTTGAGGGCTCCATAGGCCTTAGGGGAAGCTCTATGGTGTATTGCGCTCCTTAGAAGGAGTTGAGCCTCGACTAATGAGAGGCTGTTTGAGGGCTCTATAGGTCTCAGGGGAAGCTCTATGGTGTATTGGGCTCCTTAGAAAGAGTCAACTCTCGATTAATGGGAGGCTATTCGAGGACTCTATAGGCCTCAGGGGAAGCTTTATGGTGTATTATTGAGGATTGTTATGAAAGGAAATGAGTCTCATCATGAGTTCATAAGTAAAGCATACTATCTCTATTGACATGAAACTTTTCAAGAAACCAAAACCAAAGCCATCAAAATTCATACTCAAAGTGAATAATATCATACCATTACAGAAGGTTCATCATTCTTAAGACGCATGTACATATGTACGTACGAACAAGTACTAAGATTAGAGGGTGAAGAGCTTTATTGAGTCAAACTTAACAAAATCCATAAAGAGTAATGGAAATGATGTTTAAGATGAAATTGTCTTCCGTACAAGATACAATGCAAGTGGGATGCCAACAACCGAGAATCAAAGAGAAACAGAGAGCATAACGATGATACTGGACATCTATGTGTCGGGTGTCAAAGCTTTTACATAACGATGTCGGATGTTATTGCCGTTACCATGGTGACGTACAGGAAGGTCGTCGAAACCGTCAAACGTTCATGGGACTTCATGAGCAACTTCATGAGCAACCCCATGAGCTGCAGCACTGACCATGCAAAACAGACTGTAATATGCACTGACCGAATAAGTAGAATTTTTTTTAAATAATTTTAGAAAAAAGAATATGATAATTTAATCCGATCATAAATCCAACTAACCTAAAATTTCATGTTGGTTCGAAAACTTTTCATAATCAAACGCGTGTATAAACTATTTTATAATTAAAAAAAATTATAAATCATCAAATAACGAAAAAGTGGACCTTCAAGTGAACATATATTTTTATTATTTTAAGCTAATATAATTAAAATATAATAAAATTTTATCATTAAAAAAAAACCATACTATTTTAAGACGACCAAATGAGGAAAAACAATAGAACAACTTGACCATGAGAGGAGTGAGAAAAAGGAGAGAGAAAATTATGTTTTATTTTGTATTTCTTTATTTTTAAAATAATAATAATAATAATAATTCATATATTTTTATAATCTCACCAATTTAAAATACAAAATTATTATATTTTAGCTATGGAAGACTTTCAAAAGTCATTATAAACAAACAAATGGTTTATAACAAAAGTTTGTACAAAGGTTAAAAGTGTCAATTTCATAATTGAAAATGAAATTATCTCTAAGTTTTAGGGATAGAAATGTCCATTGACCATCTAAAAACTCGCTCGGGAAAAGATTTCCTGTTTAGATGGAGAATGACGGAGAGAGTGGAGGACATTTTTTTCCATTAGATAAGTTGGGTCGAGATTATAATATTAAAATTTAAACTTTTTAAATTTACGTAAATATATTGATTTATTAGGATTTTTTTTATAATTTTTTAAATATTAAAAAATGAAAACTTTAAAAGAAAAATTATTCATCGGCATCAATTCTCCTTAGAGGATCCTCGTCTCAAAATGAAAAATTTTGTAGGGATGTGAAATGAAATAGATGGCAAGGAAGGCTTCCCTGTTCCCTCGCTCCCGTGAACATCTCTACTTAGGAATTTAAATATCAAGTTTAAGAACAGAATTGTGAGACCGGAATAAATGAGGTATACATGAATGTATTGAGACCACATCTAAATTAGAGCAATCGTGAGGATAAGATGACTAATAAAGATTTCCTTTTCAGTAGCTCAATCATAGAAACTAAATGGTTAAACGTGTTTTGGCTTGATCAATTTTGGACTCGTAGTGGTCTGTAGGGGTAACATGACCATATTGCAGGGTTTGTATAGCGAACCAAGATGGTTGGAACGATCTCCATCTTAGCACCCACCAAACACACGACTCACGTCCTCTTCCAAGTTAAGGATTAAAATATCCATTAACCCGCTCGATCAATGATTAGATTAATGATTTTTTTTTATTGATATCTACTGATATTGTAACCTATGACGATTTTATGAAGTTTATGAAATTTGTCAAGATTGGAGGACTTGGGCATTGACTTGAGATTGAACTCCGAGAATTAAATTCGAACACTCGAACCTCATCTTGTTTTTAATGGATTTGTCTATTTTTGAAATGAAAACTTTTCCAATCTCGGGAAACTTCATCCATGGCTGCCGTGCTCGTTATATATCAAACATTTATTTTTAATTTTCATAGTAGGGTTGGATTGGGTACCAACTCTATTTTTCAAGTTGGTTGGACGGGTCAAATTGACGTACACGAATTGACTCAAAATTTTCACCTATTTGAAGACGGGAGATGACTGAGTTGTTGATATGGGTACCATCCTCTTGCCAGACGCCGCCAGGGTTATAACCGTGGTTCAACTGTTGACATTTTTTTCGATAAATAATGTAAAAAAAAAAATATAATCCATGATTTGAAAAGGTTGACGGTTTCTTCGGACATCCCAAATAATAATAAGAATAAAAAAAATAACCATATTAATCCGACATAAAACATATTCAAATGTACGTTTCACAATATGATTGTTTTTTAACAACACTAAAACATAGATTGATTTTTTTTCGGTAGAACATGGCTAACTATATTTATCGTGGTCTCTTTCAATGATTTTTTGGACCCAACTTGTCTAAGAGTCTTATTCTTATGATGTTAATCGATTCTATAAGTCACGTGATTCATAGAATACTGTGACTTAACCGACTTAGTCATTGACCTAACCGAGACTTGGAATCGTTATGCAAGGCAACTTGAACATAAAATCTTTCACAACCCGATATTTTATTCTAATCTTGTTTGATAAAGTTATTTCTACTTCCAATTTTTTTACAAATACCAAGAAGTTTCATCGAGCCAACAACTATGTTAGTACAAGCTCGTATAAAATCATGGATCATTAATGGTTAGGCTGTGTTGGGTTGTAAACTCTATTTAAGTTGATCGAATCACCAACCCAACCAACTGAGTCAACCAAAGATTTTCTCAATGTAGTCCATATACACTCTTTAGAGCAAAATTGTATTTTTCTCAAAATTTACCCTTTTCGTAATTTTGGTGAGTTGTCTTGTCGGCTGTTCAAGTTGTCCAAGTTGTCCAAATAATTGCAGATTCCGACAGTTCCTCTCGCAGCTTTAGTTAGGCTTTTTAAAACCACGGGCCACGAATGGGGTTCCAATGGCTAAGTAGTGCTACTGAGTTGATATTTGACCTGGGTCCAATCCACCCATTTTGAGGCCCAACGTTTTTTTTGTAGCACAACACATCGTGTCCACTCCTTTTTGGCGCTCATCCTTCTTGCTGGTATATCGTCGGGTGTTAAGTTTTTATATCATTTGTAATAGGTAAAATCCACCTAGCAAATATTGTCATTTTTTGGCTTTCTATTTCAAGCTTCATTCAAGATTTTTAAAATTTAGTCTGAGATTTCGACACTCTTATAAAAAAATATATTTTATCCTCCCACCAACTAATATGGGGTCTCACATGTACCGTCTTTCTTCAACCCGTAGGGTGGAGCTTTGACAAGTATTAAAATATGGATTTGGTCATTAGATTGAAGGACTTAGGCAAGGGCTTGAGTTTGGAATCAAGAAGTAAATTTGAACACTCAAACCCCATTTGTTTTTAATGAACTATTCTTCGAACTAAAGCTTTTCCGATCTCAGGAAACTTCAACGAATCCTCATCACTCTATTATGAGCTCCATCCATGGCTGCCCTGCTCCTTATATATATATATATATGGACAAATATATACATATATCTATAAGCAACTCACCATAGAAGAAAAGAGATAAGCTCCATTAATGGCCGCAGACAATGGAAGTAAGAGGCTTTCCGAAGCCGCCATTGAAGGCAACGTAACAACGTTGTTAGAGCTGCTCCGACAGGATCCTATGTTGCTGGCCAGAGTTAACCTCAACGACTTCAACGAGACGCCTCTACACGTGGCGGCTCTTCTTGGACACGTCGGATTTGTGGATGAGATTCTGAAGCGAAGGCCTCAGCTGGCTAAGGAGTTGGATTCCCGCCGTTTTTCAGCCCTCCACTTGGCGGCCGCCGAAGGGTTTGTGGAAATTGTGAAACTTCTGCTGCGAGTTGATGCTGGTATGTGCTTTGTCTGCAACCAAGATGGCCGGAACGCTATCCACCTCGCCGCCGTTAGAGGCCGGCTTGATGTCTTGGCTGAGCTCGTCCGTGTCCGACCGGCTGCTGCTCGGATGGCGGTGGACGGCGGCGGAACGGTGTTGCATTTATGTGTGAAGTATAACCAGGTGGAAGCGCTGAAGAAGCTGATTGAAACTGTGGCTGTGGATGACAGTCACTTTGTTAATGCTCAGGATGATTATGGCTTCACTATCCTCCATCTTGCTGTCTCCATGAAACAACTTCAGGTAATCAATTGGGATCTCATCCTCGTACCCTATTTCATTCTCAATTTTCACAACACATATTGTTATTTTTAGGTTTTTTCTTTGGCACTTACCCTCGACCGAGAGATTTTCACGCTCTTATAAAAAGTGTTTACTACTCCTCCACAATGGATGTGGGTTCCTCCTTTAGGACCCAGTTTACTCTTCCATTTGTTTCCTTCTTCAATCGATTTGGAACACCCCAATCCACCCTCTTCGAGACCAGCGTCCTTGTGCCCACGGGTAATCTGCTATCCGTTCCAAACTAGTCCTACCCTTTATAAAAAGTTTCTTTCTTCCCTCCAACCGATATGAGATCTCCCTTCAAGTCTAACGTACTCGCTGACCCTCGTTCATTTCTCTGATGTGTCCCTTGTGTCCCAATTATTTATCATGTAAAAAATGTTTCTCACTCCCTCCCTATTTTCTGTCTAAATCTAAATAGAGAATCCGCTATCTATTTGAAATTGGTCCTGTCCCACGAGTAACGTGGACATTTCTAGTCTCATGGATCAAGGAGACATCTCTAATTATCTCTTGGTCTCGAAAAATTATGACACGAAACAAACTCAAACTAGTTTATCTGGTTCTGTAATTGCAGGCTGTGGAGTACCTAATCAACCATACAAGAATCAAAGTAAATGCCAAAACCACAAATGGGTTAACAGCTCTGGACATTCTAACTCAAAGCCATAGAGATTTAAAGGACATGGACATCGCAGAGACTCTCACAGCTGCCAATGCCATCCGAACCACACCAAAGAAGCCTCCATCATCGTCGATGTCACAGTCGTCTTCTTCGCCTTCTTCCTGTGTCAGCAAAATGGAAAAGACTCAATCTTGGAAATGGCTTCTCTCCGCCGTCTTCCACAACGGAGATTGGTGGTTCTTTAACCAGAAAAGCGAGTGGCTGAGGAAGCAAGATTCATTAATGGTGGTGGCATCACTGATCGCGACAATGGCTTTTCAAGCCGGAGTCAACCCTCCCGGCGGCATTTGGCAAGACGATAAAGCCTCAGGGAACCCAAATCAGCCGGCCGGAACGTCGATATTCGCCGGAAAACACCTACAAACCTATAATAAGTTTCTGGTGTTTAACACAATGGGATTCATGACTTCCCTGATTGCGATTCTGATGATAATCACTGGGTTGCCGGAGAAACGCATTTTCATGAGGGTTTTGATCGTTACGATGTGGATTGCAGTGAGCTCCATGGCTTATACTTATGGATACTCCATTAGGTTCTTCACTCCACGAGCACCAAAACTCTCAGGCTCCGGTACTCCGTCGGGAGCCGACTCCGTCATCTTTTTGATTGCCATTTTGGTGGCGATAGTGGCTACTTCTTCAATCGGTCTGTTCTTGATTGGGAAGCTTTTCTACGTTCATTCTCGACAGAATAAGTCTACTAAGCAACCAGTCCCATCCGAACAAATTTAATGGCTGCATCACCCAATTATAACTCTTTCAAGTTCTATACATTTTGGTTTCAAAATTGGCCGGAATGTTCTTGTTTCTAGTTTTTCGATTCTGGTTTGTTTAAGTTTTATATGTATTTGGTAATTGCCCTTTTCTTCTTTTTCAAATTCAGATATGTAAAAATAGTTTTGGAACAAATAGACTTGTTTTCTTTGTAACCTTGTATTTACCATCTTGTCTGGAGGTTCGTTATTCTATTGGGTATTAAATTCATACATAGACATCTTGATTCATGTTTTCACATGTTCATAGCTTAACATTCTGTTTCTTAGAAAGTCTCGTGCCCAACTTGTAAACGAGAAATTGTTGCGTGTAGCTGACAATTTTGGATCATTCTAACGGACGAGAAAGAAATTTGGGAAAGATTTGGGAAGGATTGAATAATGACTTTATTGATGTGGGCAGTGCATGAACGTAAGGGATGTAGGTCAATTACTAGAGCCAAGTGGTTTATTTTTTGAATTCAAAGCATTTGGAAGCTAAAATTGATTGGTCAAAGCAGTTTGGAATTCACCAAGATTTGGAATTAGGGGTCAAATTTGGACGCTCAAAGATGTTGCGTTTGATGACTTTGTGCCTTCATGGAATGGAAACTGTTTCAAGTCAATGGTTTGTCGACTTGTTAGAGGGATGAGCACCTAAAGAAAAATATTAAACCCTAGAAATCAACTTCTAGAAGGAAAAGAAAATGTTTTATAAGATATCTAAATTACTCAAATACCTTCATTCCACAGTAGCAGAATAGCCACCATTTATGACTACCATCTACAACTAACGATTGACGACCAGTAACTATGGATCGTTACCACTTCTGTAACAATCATCAATGTGGTTGTTGGTTACCAGTTTATGGTACTAGTTGTTAATCCCAACCACTAGCCACTCAGTAGTAAGTTTTGAAACTTGGGCCCAATTGGTGATGATTGGTGACTAAGGGTTGGTGGCCAATCATGGAGATTAGTGAGAACTTTGGCAAACGAGATAAGGGATTGACGATTGACGATAATCGACGACCACTGCTTATAATTAGCAACTGATGGTCGGGATCGATACCAACAACGAACGACAATCGTCAAAGTGGTCATTGATGATCGTGATCCTTGATCTCAATTGACTGAGTGGTCATTAATCACTAGTGATTAGTGATTGGGTTTGGCAACCAAGGACCAGCAACCATCCTCAGTCTCGATCTTGTCGTTGGTCACTAATCCCATGCGTTGGTCACTAGCTGCTTGTTGCCGATCACGATTCTTAGCTAATCACCAATCACCAGTGCTGGTCACTAACCATAGTCACCAATGATCGGGACTGATGACTAGGGAGTGTGACTTAAGGATCGAGATTAGCAACTAGTGGTTGGTGATCAAGGACCAAAACCAGCAACCTACGATCAACAACTAGGACCAATGACCAGCAACTATCCATCACTTTTGGTGACAAACTCCAATAAATACTTAAATTTAAGAGCAACCCCAACAAAGTTTTGCATAAAAACACTTGGAGAAAATATAATCAAACATAATAAAGTTGTTTGCAAAAGTAATTGTGAGTTAACAAACACAAATATTCAATCAACAAACACAAATATTCAATCAACAGCCTACTTTTGTAAAAACACTTTAGGTATGCTTTTCTCTGATTTTTTTTTATATTATTAAACAGCCTACTTCTCTAGAACAACTGAAGTTATTCTTTCTAGTCAATTATAAGGATTTCAAGTTAGAACAGAAGCCATCAATTGTAAGATATCTGCGAGAGAATTGTTTAAAGAACACTCCAAACAAATCCTCACGTTTGGGTATCTAAAATGTTGCCTAGTGGTAAGTGATGTAAATGGTTAATTGTAAGCAGCAAACTAGTCTACAAATACTTGAGTAGGATATGTTCAGCCTAATTCTTAATTCCAAGCCTCCTAATAGAGATAGGTATTGAGATGATAAATGAGAGAGTGACTAACCTTAACACAGTGAACCCACGAAGCGAATGAAAACTCTCTCGTGACCCCAACGGCATGTACAATGGAGATAGGCTTCCTGACAAGTATAAACTTTTGACAGTAACATATTATACCACATACAAAATACAAGTAGTTCATACAATACACAAACAGAAAGGAGTTTGTCCACAAATAACATAGACTGTAAATTTCCAACCTAACCACAGTCCTAATTTAAAGTTTAAACTAATCCTAATACACAATTAGTGGTCTACACTGAGATCCTAAGGGAAGCAACATTTGACTATCTCTTGGTTCATTTTCCTCTCTTTTTTTTCCCTTTTTTTCCTTTGGTTTGGGGAGGGAGGGGAGGTTGTTGCAAATACCTACCATGCGTGCCGTTGAAACACATCAGGGTCGGATTCGCTTGTTGCTGCAAGATGGACATTTATACTGCTTAATGTGCTCTGCCCTTGCCGGAGTGATCTTGACACACTTCCCATGGAACCATTTCTCACATATGTCACAGCAAATCCAGAACTCATCAGATGCATAATTCTCTCCGCAAGCTCCGCAAAGTGTTTCTCCATGTTCTTCTTCGTCTTCCTCTTCCAAGCCTTCCTCATCCTCGTCCTTCGATTGAACAGCTTTCGTACTTTTTATTTGAGGTTCGGAACTCCGCTGTAATTGCAAATATATGCCAAATAATATGCTTAATAAGTTGCCTCCCACATGGATTGAAACACATACTAAGCAAAGAGAACAAGTAATCAAAGAATACTCTAGTACGGTATGCAGGTCGACTGGTTTTCTACAGGCACCTCAGCCAAACCATTAGAGCAATTAAAAATCACCAGCAGTTTTGTGTCTCATTTTAAGCCGAATTGGCTAGGAAAAACTAAAAAACAGGAGAAAGCAGGATAAAAAAATTCTTTCAAACCTTTGGATTTGATTTAGATTTATTACTGCTATGATTTGAAACTGATGATTTATCCTTAACTTGTTTTTTGGCTGTCCCTGTCACCACTTCAAATATTGTTGGAAGATCATTTATCATATTAAATAGACGCTTCCTGCAACAAAAGCAACAGAAACTTGAATCCCCAGTCATGGAAACTTCATCAGGAACCAAATTATGACTAAGATAAAAATAAAAGAATACAAGAAAGTCAAGAGAAGACCAGCAACCCAGACCAACAAATTGACAGCCCAAAATAGAGCCAAACTACTAGAAAGACCAAGTCATGGACCCTGTTGTAATGAAGAAACCACAATGATGCAATGTGCCGTGTAAATACTGATAGAACTTTAAATCCAAGGTAGGTGGCCTTATGATTTGAACTCATTTCCTCAACCCTGATTATTTTTCACTGACATCAATGACTATGGCCAAACCACAGTCAATTAAAACCAAGCTTACATTGAAAAAATGAAAGAATACAACCGTTTCCATCTAGAAAAGAATGTTGCAAGTCCCAAAAACGGTCAAGAGAACAGCTCCTTTGGAACCAGGCATGTATAGTAGGAAGATAAAGCCTATGACACCACGCCATGCCATAGACACTCTGCAATCATTTTCTATAAAATGAGGACACGAACATGCAGGAGCATGCTTAATAAAATTTCCAATTTTCAGAATGTACGTTAAATGACAAGTTTAGTGCCTAAACTATCATGTTTGTGTCAATAAGCCTCTGAATTTTAAAAAAGAGTCTAATAGATCCCAGACTTTAACTTTTGAGTCTAATAGATTTCTGAACCTTTCAAATTATCTAATAGATCCTTGAACTTCTAGTTTTGTGTCTAATTTATTACTAATATACTCAACACTTTTTAAAGTTAATAAATCTATTATATAGAAAATTGAACTTGTATCTAACATGAGTATAATAATTTCATAAATTTTTAGGTGTTTCAAATAGATCAAGAACCTACAAACACAAACTTGAAAGTTTAGAAACCTTTTAGTCACCCAAGAACTTATTAGACACAAAATTGAAAGTTTAGGACATATAAGACACTTTAATGTTCAAGGACTTATTAGACACAATCCTAAAGGTTAAAGGACAAAACTTGTAATTTAACTTAAAACATAATTGAACATATCCTATATTTTAATGTTTTTATATAAAAAAAAAAAATACACTGTATGGTCTTTTCATTTAGAAGATAATATAGAAGAAATGATGAATTCTTTATTTAAAAAGAGTCATGAAATGTACAATGCAGAACGTTAATTTATTATAGATATCGCATATGTATTTAATGATGCAATTTCTAATAGTAAAAGAATCAAGAACCAACTAAACATGTTTCCGAATGACTCGACGGTTAATAGAAAAGAGAAACAAAAATCGGCCATCATTAAATGCTTAAATACTTTAAAGAACTCATTGCGATCAAAACTTGTAAGTATTCTTCCATATTTGTTTTTATGGTTGATTAGTCTTCAAATAATATGTTAGGCATCCAAACACTGAAATTATATGAAAACACCCAAAGATAATTATATTGCAATATCTAAAGAAATTACAATATAAGTAATTCAAGATTGTTACACCCTCCCTCTTGAGATCAATCCCAAGCCCTAATTCACTCGCCACAACGTAATGCCTCATTCCCTCTATTTATAACCAAACTCCATAACCACCTCCCTATCTAATTACTAACATCCTATCCTAATAGCATTTCTAACAGAATAACAAATAAATAGCTTAACACTTAAAACGAAGTGCTCAATAATTGTCTCAAATATGTCCATCCAATGTGTTCAACAAGCGTTCGTGTGTGTCATGTGTTAGACAAGTAACCAACGCGTGTCCAATATATTCAACAAGTGTGAAACACGAATTGAGCAATCACAAAATGTGTTTGTGCTTCCTTGTATAAAACATATAATATGAAGAAAAAAAAATATAGTTTGAAATAAAACCTTATAAGAAAGAGATTGGCTAATACCAATTCAATCTAAAACAATAACCAAAATATAACACACCACAAAAAAAATCCCATTATAGAACTTTAGATCATGAGAAGCATGTATGGGGTTGCAAAACCTATCATCATCATGAAAAGAAATAAGAAATTCAAGGGCAGAGAAAAACAGTTTCCCAAGAGCATGTGAAATGAAAAAAAGTTGGACAACATATTAAATTAAGAACTGCTCAAAGACAATAAAAGACAGAGAGAGAGCGAGAGAGAAAGCATTGAAGCTCATGCCCAGCCCTTCGCTACAACCTACGACCAGTTTAAAATATACTATGCATGAATCATTAACATAAAATAACGAAGGCAGATCAGGTGAACA